TTACATTTAAACAAAATTGGGCTCAATGTGGCTAGAGGCTGCCATACTGGGCAGCAGGGCTGAGGGACGATGAAAAGCCTGTGATTTTATCAGCAGACTGTGGACTCTTCACCTCTCCTCCTTCTTATGGCCGGGCTTTTGGAACAGGCCTTCGTCAACACTGTTTTAGACCTAAGCAGACTCCATAGTCTTGACTTCCGTTAACCCTAGAACCAGGCTCCACATGATAGCCATTCTGGCCATTTACACACAGTCTTGCTTCTGAGCTGCTTTCCATGGCCTGGAGCCCAGACCTTCTTTCTCTCTGCCCTGTCTCTGGCCGGGCCCTTCCTCTGCCCACTGGGCTCTCCACAGGATGATTCTCCACTGAGTCCCCAGACCAGACGCCCTCCAAACCGCCAGCCCTCAGCCCTCACCCCTAGGCACTCTCTTCCTACTACGGGGCTTTCCCTTTTAATCACTCCCTCACCCTTCAATGTCTTCTTCTTTCTCTAGTCATTACAATTATTGGAAAATCAGCATTTGTTCAGGGTCTGGTTTATCATCTATTTCAGGCTATCACAGGCTCTACGAAGAGAAAGGCTTCGCCCATTTTGTTTGCAGCAAGTATCTCAGTCCTTCGCTGAGAAGAAATACAGTCACTATACACTCAGCCTCACTCATTCGACAATGCCTGCTGCTAATGCAGCCTGAGAAGCTTCACCGGACAGACGATACGAAACCCTACTGAAAAAGGCCCTTTAAGTTCCCATGTTCCCAGTTTAAGAGCTTTAAAGAATACTGTTCACTGGAGGAAAAATGAAATGCTTACATTCCCTCCTTAACTTGGACCAATACAAAAAGCACTTTAAAAGAATGGAACTTTAAAAAAAGTAAAGTTAAAAAATATACAATTTGATTTTTCTTTCTCCTTAAAAAGTTATGCTGAGGGCTGGGGATTTGGCTCGATGGTTCCACTGCCTGCCTCACAAGTGAAAGGACGCGAGTTTGATCCCCAGTACCAAAAACAACAACAAAACAAACAACAACAACAGAAAAGTCACGCAAAATTACTGTTGGAAAATGTGACCTTAAAGTAGACACCCTCTTAATTAATGGGGTGAGTCCCACGCAGACCAGGCATTTGCAGTGCACATCTGCCCCTGCTACACAGTTCTGGAGCCCAGTCTGACTTCGTCTGACCATGGCCTGACCCCAGTGGATTCCCTGCCCTTTACTGTTAATACCGAGGCTGTAATAATAGTTTCAATAAATGTGGGTTTCCCAGAAATGCCTGACCTACTTTTCTGTTGATCAGACAGATTTGTGAATTTATCTATTTTAGCTTATCT